GTATGGCTCCAGCCGGTCCCTCTAGCCACTGCTGCAACTGAGTCCTCAGCCCCAGCCTCCGCCGCGATCGTGGCCCAGCCGACTCAGCGCAGCTGCCACCCAAAAGCCAGAAGCTTTTCAGGAGCCTAACTGCTAGAAAAACTCTCTTACCAGTCTATAAATGCATTTTTGCCCTATTTGTCACAGCCTGTGCTTACAAACAAAGCTTTTCTGACATCTCCTGGAATAGTTTGGAGCCATGTTCAGAGTGGTAATACAATGAAAATTGGGTCTTGGCTGACAAGTTAAGCAAATGCTATTGTCCCAGAGCAGAAATAGTTATGAAATTAAAATTTTGAACTAAGCATCAAAGAAATATCACAACTTTCATGCCGAGTCCTCTTAGAAGGCACCAAACATTGCAGCTGCAGCATACGTTCAGTCTAATGCACTAGCTTCAGGAGAATTCTGTCTCCATCAGATCCTTGGGAAAGGTACCAATGCAGAACACAAGGAAAGTGGCTCTCTATTAAAATCGTCGTAAACATGAGGCTATCTGTTCACATTATCACAGAGAGCACAAGAGTACACGAATGATGTTCACTTTTGTCAATATTAATCCACAATAGTAAACAGATGTTGAAACCTCTGTTTTTGAAGTGACAGATGGTTGCCAGAGCAACATCCATATTAAATGAAAACTGCTGATAACATATCAGATAAAATAATTTAAAACACTATTGAATTTGTTCCTAGTATGGTCATTTGTATTATCTGTTCAGTCAAAGAAAAAAAAAATCCTTCCATGTTTTCTTCATTAAAAAAAGCATCTCTGAAAAAAAGCAGGGCAGACAGCAAAAGTGAAGACACTAAATATAAGCATTTCTAAGAGGAAAAAAAAACCTAGAGAAAGCTGACAATTATAAAGTGGAAACTTGTCATCCATAAATGTCAGGTCTGACATGGAAAAGCTTAGGGACTGAGGAACAGATTATTTGCACATGAATAAATGCGAACAAATGCTATTATAGCTTTTGATGCTATCTTATCAAGGCTTCTCTTCTACCCAAGATGACCAGAATAAGTGTTAACCTGGAAAGGAACAGATAAGTAGGGTGCCAGAGTCTAACAAGTGTGACTGGAGCAGCGGAGTGGGCAGGAATCCAACTGATTGACGTTCTCTCCGAGTTGGCTTCTGGAGTCATATTTTCTTGGTCATGGCTACTTCTGATATTCAACTAAAGGAACCAGAAAAGCATGCTTCTGGGCAAGCATTTGAGCTGATACTCAGTCCCTGCTCAAAAGAAGCAGTCCCAGAATTCCCTCTTTCTCCCCCAAAGAAGAAGAACGTGTCATTGGAGGAGATTCAGAAGAAGCTGGAAGCAGCAGAAGAGAGACACAAGTCTCATGAAGCAGAAGTCTGGAAGCAGCTAGCTGAGAAGCGGGAGCATGAAAAAGAGGTGCTTCAGAAAGCGATTGAAGAAAACAACTTCAGCAAAATGGCAAAGGAGAAGCTGACCCACAAAATGGAAGCTAACAATGAAAACTGTGAGGCACAAATGGTGGCTAAACTGGAACGCTTGAGGGAGGAGGACAAGCACATTGAAGAGGTTCCAAAGAACAAAGGCAAAGACCCCAGTGAGGCTGAACCCGACTGACTTCATTCTGGAAACTGACTCTCTCCCCCTCCTCTAAATATCCAAAGACTGTACTGGCCAGTGTAGCTATCTTCTTGTTGCATTCTTTTCTACTCCAGGGCACTTGCTACTGGGTTGATGGCTGGCACTGTAGCTGCTCTGTAAGTCCTTTGTGACAGGAATCTGTAGTACTGTTCCATGCTGAGTATCTGTTACACTTCAAAAATCTGACTCTGCCTCAGTCTGCTAAAATACCTCTGTAACAGAGTGACTAAATAAAGAGCCGCACAGTGCTGCTATCATGACAAAAAAAAAAAAAAACAAACAAAAAACCCCCCCAAAAAACCAAACCCCGCAAAAAAACAAGCAGCTCTCGAGGTCAGCTTGTTGGGAGCCGTCCGAGACCGCACCGGACCGACCCATCTCAAGGTACGGGGGGGTTTCGGGAGTTTCCTTTCACAGGAAACCTCGGGAGGAGCGCAGCTCGTAGCGGCAGCCTCTCATAGAAGGACAGGCTGAGAGAGGTGGGGTTGTTCAGCCTGGAGAAGAGAAGGCTCCTGGGGACATTGTAGCGGCTGTCCAGTAACTGAAGGGGGCCGACAGGAGGGATGGGGAGGGGCTTTTTAAAAGGGCATGCAGTGACAGGACGGGGGGTAATGGATTTAAACTGGAAGAGGGCAGATTTAGATTAGATGTTAAAAAGAAATTCTTTACTGTGAGGGTGGTGAGGCACTGGAACAGGTTGCCCAGGGAAGCTGTGGATGCCCCATCCCTGGAGGTGTTCAAGGCCAGGCTGGATGCGGCCCTGCTCTAGTGGGAGGTGTCCCTGCCCATGGCAGGGGGGTTGGAACTAGATGGTCTCTAAGGTCCTTTCCAGCCCTAACCATTCTATGATTCTATAACCAGTTAAAATCAAAAATTATCTTAAGATCCATGGTTTCCTGATGCAGTTTCCACTCACACACACATAAGCAGTAGATTAGATTCAAATGCAGTCCTCTAGTGAAGAAGATTAGATTCAAATGCAAACTTATTCTTAAGAAATCTGTTGCTCCCTGAATTCAGAGTATTAGAGTATTTTCTCTTGGAAAAACATTACCTCTTTGCAGTGCCTTTGTGAGGCTATTAATTAATCACTCAGAGCTCCAGGATAAGCAACAAAGCATCAGATCAAGTTGGTATATTTTCTAATCAAACTGAAGATCTGCCACCTGACAATAAAATGAGTGATTTCTCATGTTGCTAGATGGGCCTGCAGGAGCCTTGCCAGCTGGTGCAAAGCAATCACTGTAACATCATGGATAAAGCCACTGTCAAGTACCTTATGTCTTGTGATGTGAGGATGCACCAGGATCTACTGGAGCGACACTTCATTGTCCAATGAAGAGGAATGAGACACCTGAGTCAGCTCTCTGGAATGATTCAGTACCATCAGGACAGGGACCAGTGTCCAGCTCAAAACACAATTTTCTCTTCTTTCTTTTTTCTTTCCATTTCAGCAGAACAAATATTTTTATCTATGGATGCTATGTTTCTGAGCAGGCATGAAATTCAAAGTACATTAGCATCCTATGCTAATAAGCCAGAAAAGATATTAAAAAAAAAAATTCACCAGCTGATCCCAGGTATTGGAAAATCACCAGGTAAACAAGAGCATTAGACTGAGAAGGTGAAATTAGAACCCACCATCTGTCTTGTACATTTTTTTACATACCAAAGTAAAAAAAAAAACCAAAAAAAAAAGGGGGAGAGGAAAAGAGTGTTCTTAAGCATATGTGCAGAATGTTCAGTACTGTTGCTTGATTATCTAAACCATAAAGCCATCAAACGGCGACAGCTGAAAACCACACAGATAGATTTGTAAGCAAAGAAAAACTTTGGAAGGACAGGTGGTCTTTCCTCATAACTATGGACTTTTTCATAATAGCTATATGTATATATATACACACACACAGTGTTTATTAACTACCCTTTGCTGTCTGTGAAGACCTATGTAACTGTAAAGAACAAAATATAGAAGAAATAATTTGCATTTCTTTGTCCCAAATGAGAGCAATTACATAAAACTGATAATGCAAAAATAAATGTTTCACTTTTGATTTTCAATACTATTAGGTACAATTAGCAGCAAGGCAAAATTTAATTAAATATTTTTTCAAAGCAGCATGGAGTTTTTGCTAATTCATTCTTATCATTGGGAAAAAAAATTAAAAATCAGTTATCAGCCAGTGCTGCTGTGAAGAGTTATTTAAATCTCAAAACATTTTTAAGAGCAGGTAAAAAGGGAAATAGAAACACAATTAAGGAGGACAACTAGATTAAACTTTTCTGGCTGAAATATTTTGTTTTGCAAACACAACATTACCATCTCCTTGAAGACTTAAAAACAGTAAAGGAGGAAAAGATCACTTCAGTGGAGTTTCATGGTTTGATATTAAAATTCGTGTCTCCACTTGAATTTCAGGCATCCTTTCAAAAAAAAGATTCTTCTATATAATACCAAAAGGTGAACATGAAAACAAATTAATATTTAGTTAGAGGTGGCTTTTATTTCCATCTATTTCCTCAAAATAAAGTTAATTTTTCTTAGTCTTTAGTCTTCCTGTTGGCATGCTGCCTCCTTCAATTAATAAACTATCTTAATTTGCAACAGTTATTATTTAATTGCATACAAAACCTAGAAAAATACTGTATCATAAAATTAGGTCAAACAACCTGAATTTCAAAAGCTTGGTTTTTGTTTTTCACATTGGGTTAGCGTATTGGTCCCATCAGCATTCTCTACAGCAGAGCTCGGGACAATATTTTTAATCACTTTTGAGTAGATCAGTTGTTTCTCATGTAATCAGAACAGATAAGCCCATCGGACATTATGGAAAAATCACATAGTACTTTCTACAGGGTCAGTGAGAGGGCTTAGTAATGCCCCAAGCACATACTACTGTACTATTAGTTGCTGCCTCAATTTCTTTAAAATTGAAAGCTGATCTGGCAGAGACAGAGTTTCCAGAGCACCAACTTCTCTGCAGAAAGACCCTTTTATAGAAAGGTTTCTGCAAAAACACTGTAGATGTTCAGATAGATGGTATCGCAGAGACTCTTTGTTAGTAATATTTACTCTCCTTGACATTTTGAAGCCTGAGAATAGAATAAAGAAGAGACATTTCATCATTGTTTTAAGATTACTTTTCTAGTTACTCTTGCAAATTGGAAAACTATGAAGAAAGCAGCAAAAATCATTAAGGACACCTCTTAGACTGAAATGCCCTGCTTATTACATCATGCCATCTGCAAATACATTTCCAGTTTGGGGTTACTGCCAGTAGCAGTTTCTAGTGGGCTGAAAATAATGTCTTGTTGAATTATGTTTGTTTGTTTGTTTTTGTTTTATTTTTAAATACATCCGGTGTTTGTACCTACAAAAAATGTAATGGAATATTTCAAGATGTCAGAACATCTGACACAGATCAGCAACAAAATTTTTCTGGCAAGCAGATCAAGGGCTGGCTTTGACTTAGGCATCAAAGCAGCCTGCTAAGGAGAAGATGACCAACTGACACCAAAATGCTCCAACAGCCTGATTGCTCTCAATGTCATCATACCCCTACCAGCTCCTTAAAACTGACAGACATCGAAATTGATGGCAACAAAAAGGTAGGCTTCAGTACTCCAAAACTGTATTATTCTCATATATTATTTGATATAACCATTAAGCTATTTAAGGAAGAATAACTAAAAATATTTCCCTTCCCTTGTTCCACTGCTTATAGCAAAACAATAAAGTAGGTAGCAATGGTAGTAATCACCAAGCTAGAGAGATGATCCACAGGCATCCAAAAGCGAGGCAAGAAGTTAGTTCCTACCCATAAGACAAGAACTGTAGAAAGGAAAAAAGGCTGTTTTCTAGCTACCATCAGAGAGGGACTTGTGGCAAGTTATGTCCATCAAATCAGTTCCAGATTTACCCCTTTACAGCATGTAATTCTTGTTGAAAGAGGACACTCAAAAAGCTTGCTACGCACACTACACTGGCATGGTCAGGCATGTGATGAACCTGGACTTTTTCTCTCATTCCACAGCACTTGCAGGTTCAGAGACACTCATGCTTCCACATGAGCAATTCAAACTTATGATCTTTACTTATAGCAGCCTAATTTAACAAATAGAGAAACCCTTTAAAAGAACCAGGAAGAAGGAAAGAACCAAAAGACCATCAAGAAATAAAATATTAAATCACCACCTCCCTGGCTGTAGGATTAGGTTGTGAAATTTGTACTATTGAAAGGCTGTCAGGCAGACACATAGCCATGTATTTTTAATATAATAGAATTGTAGAATGGTTTGGGTTGGAAGGGACCTTAAAGATCATCCAGTTCCAATCCCCATGCTATGGGCAGGGACACCTTCCACTAGACCGGGTTGCTCAAAGACTCATCCATCCTGGCCTTGAACACCTCCAGGGATGGGGCACACACAACTTCTCTGGGCAACCTCTTCCAGTGGCTCACCACCCTCACAGTAAAAAATGTCTTTCTACTACCTAATCTAAATCTACCCTCTTTCAGTTTAAAGCTCTTACCCCTCATCCTATCATTACCCTCCTTGATAAAGAGTCCCTCACCATCTTTCCTGTAGGCCCACTTGAAGTATTGGAAGGCTGCTAGAAGGTCACCCCGGAGCCTTCTCTCCTCCAGGCTGAACAAGCCTAACTCCCTAAGCCTGTCCTTGTATGGGAGGTGCTCCAGCCCTCTGACCATCTTCGCCACGCTCCTCTGGACTTGCTCTAGCAGGTCGGTGTCCTTCTTTTGTTAGGGACTCCAGAGCTGGATGCAGTGCTCCAGGTGGGGTCTCACGAGAACAGAGTGGAGGGGGAGAATCACCTTCCTCAACCTGCTGGTTCGCTTTCTGGGCTGCAAGCACACCTTGCCAGGTTGTGTTGAGCTTCTCATCAAGCAACACCCCCAAGTCCTTCTCTTCAGTGCTGCTCTCAGTCTGTTCTCCTCCCAGCCTGTATTTGGGATTGCCCCAAACCCTGTGCAGGACCTTGCACTTGGCCTTACTGAACTTCATGAGGCTTG